GTTTATTTTTAAAGTTCTAATTTCCAAGATCTAAGTGGATGAACAATTTTTCTTGGAACAATAAAATGAACTGTCCAATAAATATCCGTAAACCTGGTATTAAATGAAGGTTTACCTAGGTTTCCGAAACTTTTATAGATTTTTCGTTTGATAAATTTCGGATTTCATTTTTAAATGTATAAATATCATAGCTGTATATCTTAGCAATGTATGTTGACATTAATTGATGGAATGATGTAAATATTTACATATATGGACCGTTTATTTTGAATGTGGTGTAAGTCCATTTTTGAAAAAAATGAGATATCATGTAATTCATACTTAATTTAATGTACATTTTTTATGTATAACCAGTTCGTGTTTAATTTCTTAAAAAATTCCCATATTTTGTACAATTTAAAATTGGTCGGTAAATGAAATTGCATAATCATCGATTATGAAAGTGGTGTAAGTCCAATTGAAAGAGATAGGTGGCTTATTAGATGGTTGCCGATCAGTAGCCTGTTATTTTACATTTGTCCAGTCGTTGGAAAGTAACATTGATATAATTGATCATAAATTTTTACTCTCAAGGCATTCATACCTTTCGAACGATGCAAATTTTGGCATCATAGAAATGGCATTGCGAAAAAAAATGTTCTGTACACACCACAGGATTATTATGATGTAATAACACAATGTAGAAAACATGATAAATTCATTTTACATGAAATGAAACGAGAGAATTTCGTTTCAATAAAAAATCTTCAAAATGCGATTAAAAAACAGACAAGAAAAAACACTAATGGAGAACAGGTAAATTGGTTGCAAATATGTTGGATGAAGTTTCTCAAAAGTGCACCATACACTATTTTATATAAAACATCGATGAAGGGCAAAGAATTTAAAACTATAAATTTATTATCTACACGTCCTGGAAGACCACTAAAATTTTAAAAAATCGCCCTGGCGCCTTTGTACCAAGATGCCAGGCCTATTACTTATGAAAAATATAAAGACATCAAGCAGTTATTACCTTATATACCTCCGGTGCATCGTGCATATTTCGAAACACTGCCACATGCAGAGCATAAGTACATACTATCAATATCTTGTAATTTTAACAATGTAATTAGCGTCTAAAATTAAAAATACTACTTCTATTTTATGTCGTGTCATTATTTGTAAACAAAATTGGATTAATATGAAGTATATTTTAAGTGATATCTGACTTTTCAAAATTGAAATTAAACGATTTTTACAATTCCCTAATTTTGAAAGTGGTGTAAGTCCATTTGCAGCCCGTAAGTATACATCAGTTTAGTAAAATACGCCTAAAACAAATTTATTTAACCAAATTACATATTGATAAAACAGTAGAAACATTGCCAGACTTCATATAATTTGCCCAAATTTTTTAATTAACAGATATGTTAACCTTTAATTTTTCTCGAAACAAGAGAAAATGGACTTACACCACTTTCAAAATAAACGGTCCATATAAGGAATTTATTGACTGATCATTTTGTTTCGAATATCTTCATAATATACTGTTAACCTTAAATCATCTATTATAGGTAATCTTGTAATATTCTATATTATATTAAAAATGGGTGTAAATTATTTGTAATATATCCAAAGATTGTTTAATTCGTATGATGATGTATGGGAGTATCATAAAATGGTAGAATATTCATTATTGAATAAATTATAGATGTACGGAAGTTATGATAGATGAATAATAAAATGTGTAAATAAACAACATTGTAATTAAGATTATACATATATGAATATCTAGATCGATTCCAGGACGTGTGTCTGCTTCGGTTTACTGTAAGTTACGAAAAATTTGATTATGAAATAACTACTTAACGGTGTCACGTAAAACGTGAACTATTTAATAATAATCATAGTACAAAGTACTACAATTGATACATATAATTAAGCACTAAAATTACTATTCGCGATAAAAATAGACCTAATATTCATAAGCATGCAGACTGTCATTCCTTTTTATCCTATCACCTGTTTATATTAGACCCACAATGTGAAAATGTTCAATTGTCAAGTAAACCTGTTTACGAAATATTTTTCTTTGTGACTGATACTAACTCGATAAACATTTTCTGCCAACAATGTGTTTATGTAACAGCATTATTTTTCTTTAAGTTTGATGTATAAATGATTTATAAATTTCATTCTGCAAACAATTTAATTAATTGTACGGTTAAGTTAACTGTATTTAATTAATTTTTTATGCAGCAAAGGGGTAGTTTTCGAAAGTGCATGAAACATTGATCTCATTTTCGTAAATATAATACTAAGGGTACGCGATAATTATAACTTTTGCATTTGATAATTAAAACATGCACATTCGAAAAGTTATAATATGAAGAGTTGAAATAACGATTCAAACGAAAGTTTATAATTATCAAACTAATATAATTTTAACGAAATATGATAATGGGGACAGCAGTATTTTCTTTTGTTTTTTCATTTTTAGTCAGTACGTCTAAAGCGGAAATGAAGTCTTTTTTAGCTTCCACATTCACGTAATATAAATGGTTACATATTATAAAGGTAAGCAAAAGGGGTAACATAGAATTTGGAAAAAGAAGGAAACAAAATAAAGTTATAAAAAAATTCAGTAAAGCAAATTAAATTAGCAGCGAGGGAAATTAAGATTGAAAAGAAAGTATGGGAAAAATGTCAAGGGAACTTACAAAGTAAAGTTAAAACGAAAACTCTAAACGCGAAGTTCATTGAGATGCACTATACATTTATGCATGAGAAGTGTGTATATTAAACTTACAATCGTAGCACAAAGTATCCTTTCCCATCCAATTTTTCACATTAAATACTAATATTATTCATAGCACTCTGCATTTCTTTTATGACTTGTGTAATGAAACTCTGGAATACACTAACCCTTCAAAGTAATCAGAACTGACAACAAATTTGACCACAGCTAGTGTACAGGAAGTTAGGAACAATATAACATATCTTGTTCGTTATTTTTGAACTTGTTAATTCTTTCATGATCTTTACCTACGGAAGCATGCAATATAATGATACTATAAAATCTATCAAAACTTATGGTTTTTTAATTCTACATATGATTTTAAAAATAAAAGCATTAATAGTAAAAGGACTAGTTATAAATGGTATAGTTCTTGTGCATATAGCTTGCAATAATGAATATTTAACTAGGCCATTGTAGGGTAAGTAATTAAAAAATTATTATTGTAAATACCATTGATACCTAAGAACAAAACTATTCATTTACGAAATGAAATACATACAAGAAGAACAATAAATCAGCTTCTTTGCAAGATTCAGTATACAGTGAGATAAATTATATTTAGTTATCGAACCATCAATATATCGAATCATAGTCATCTTGGGAGTAATTGTTGTGGTAAATTAACAGTATTCATTATGTGCAATATATTAATACCTATTTTAAAGACTATTAGTTTAAATTTTGATAATATAATAACTGCATTACTTTGAAAAAAGTGTACATTCTTGTTAGATGTGTACATATAACAAAAACTGTTTTGGTTCCTTTTAAACCAATGATAAACCAATAAGATGATGTTATATTAAAATTAGTAATACTATTAATTAAAATTTTATATCAACCTTATTATGCGTCTGCATAAAGACGTTAGCTACTATCCGCAGATTTCAATATCCGCGGAAGGTCTTGAAATCAATCCCCCCACGAATACGGGGATCTCACTCTACTACTAAAAATAATTGAAGATACAGATATCTGAAAGTTAAAATATGATCAGGCTATCTTATCCCCAGAGCCATCTCACTCGGAATAATCCTACGATACCAGACATACAAACTTCACAACATGGATAACCAACATTCATAACTGAAGACAATCACGGAACGTGAAAGTCATTGTAATTTTGAAATACGATAGAGCAAGAGGTGTCTACTATAAGTCTCTTACGTTAGTTCCATCAACGACCGAGCTAAAAGTGCACAGGGTCAAGGGGATTGTTCCACTCACGACGCTCGGGCCGTCTCGATTTTCGACGTATGGTCATCATTGTCGCGTGGCCATAGTAAAGCACGGAACCGACATTGAATGCGATGAGGTGAGATGTAATGATAGAAAACAAAATTCTTTACAGTTCCGTCTCAGTATATAATCGACTATAGATAACAAAATTTTCTATAGTTTCGTCTCACTCCGTTGCATTCCGCCCCGTTTCAATCCTTTGTTATTGCTGCGCGCCAATAATGACCATGCGTCGAAATCCAAGGCGGCCCGAGCGTTGTGAGTGGAAGAATTCCCTTGCCCCTGTGCACTTTTTGCTTGTCGGTCGATGGAGCTAATGTGAGAGGCGTACAGTAACTTACTCCCCTTATGCTAGTAACTCGAAAACAGCGTTCTCCCACTACCTCTACTTAAGGAGCTGCCCGAGGCTGTGTATGTGAGCAGTTCCATGTTGTGTTCAATAGAAACAGGTAAAAGTAGGTTTAGAAAGAGTAAAAAATCTTTCGTTCCGCGCACAATAAAATCAAAAAATGAAGTGTGTATTCATCAAACGCAGGACGAATGCACCTAGTTACATGTTTATCTGCAAAAATAAAGAATTCGTCATTAAAAGGATTAGTATCATTTCAAGCTTTGAGATGACGTTTGTACTTGTCAAACGCGGTTAACTGATTAAACACCCTTGCGATAGAACTAGAGATGAGTTGTACGAAACACCATTTAACACTAAAAATACCGGACATGTCAAACCGATCTACTGCAGAATTTTTATTTTGCAAGTATTTAAGTCATAAAAGTGTTTTAGCAAAAGATTTTTAATTAAATTTGTGTATTTGTACAGATACAAAACTAGGAGTCCTTTTAAATCTTAAGATTCGTATTGTTCTAATTTTTGTAAAAAATTGGAAATGAGTTCCTTTAATTGGTCGGTAGATTTAATGTTCAAAATCAATGGAATATCGATTGGATAAGAATGTATACAAAAGTTTGATTCAATTACCAGGATGTACGGCGTGGCAGTGGTTGAGGAGCGGCAGCCAACAGAGCAGTAGCACCGCTCTCTGCATCTGAAACAAAGACCACAAGCATTTTTCACAAGCGTTCCGTTTAATTACTATTCCGCAGCGTCGACCGCTTTCTGATATAATTATACACTAATTAAAATTCACGATGAAACAGCCCGGTATCGAGAGTAACCGCGGCAACGAAATCAAGGAAGCGCGAATTATAATGGTGATTTTCCGTATCATGGAGAAAAATTCCACCGTGGTATGCTGAGCATTGGGGTGAGTAATTGTACTTGTGTATAATTAGCTGAGTATCTAGTCACGAGTTACTATTAGATCGTATTTAACCCCTTTCTCTATAATAATGTGTCAGATTTGTGGTGAAGATTTTAAACAGAGTTTAACAAGCATAAATATTACTCGATTCCTTCGACTTCAAGTGAAGTGTTTTCATCTGTTATCAATTATTATACTTTGGAATAAATGTTGATATGAGATATGACTATAATTTCGTTCTTTAGTTAATAAATTATTAATGACAAAGTAGTTGAATCGATTAACTTATTTTTCAATAAATTATTATTAATGGCAAAAACAGAAAAATTCTAGACACGTGCTACGTCTATGTTTGTTCCAAAGTATAATTATTGATAACAAAAGAATAATATTTAGTTTGAATTTGAAAGAATCGAGTAATATATATCCTTGTTAAATTCTCATTAAAATCTTCATCTTTTCATCATGAATTTGAAAGAATCGAGTAATATTTATCCTTGTTAAATTCTCATTAAAATCTTCATCACAAGTCTGACACGTTATTATAAGGTAAGTGATTAAATGAAATTTCTAGTTTTTTGCCGATCACTATATAGAATAATGAACAGTGGAATTCACCTTAAGGATAGTTAGTACTTTACATCCAAGAAAAAAAGTTTAAATAAACGTGGAATGATAAATTAATGTTTTCAATAAGCCGTAAACAATTTTTCATGCATAGTGGCAAGAAAATATTATTTAACCTCCTTTTATTTACATTATTTGTGCATATCATAATGCAAGGCTGTCTTATTTTTTCTTAGAGGAATATCAGTTGCAGGATCTTACAATAGCAGTCAAGAATGAAGGTGAATTATCACGTCAAAAAATATGAAATGTTTATAAATCAATCACAATACGACCCGGTATTATTGGACGAAAATGCAATTCTCTAATATGAATGTCTTGAACATATGTAGAATTATAAACAAAAATAGATAAAATATTTACTACAACCACGGAAAAAAGAAATTGCAAGATATTTAAATTTCTTTATACAGCGTAATGGTTTCCGTATTGAATAAGCTTCCGTTTTTAAGCGGAATATAAAATTTTAACTTTGAAATTTGTGACTTTTAAAAGATTAACTTTATTACACAATTTTGTTACCTTCTTCTGCAAAATTATTTCAGCACAATTTGGTACATTTTTAATAAAGATTCAGTAACTTTTTTTTATATTTGGAAAATCAACCAGTTAAAGAATCAATTCTTACTAGTGATCAAATGTGTCATACTTATTTGTGATAATGCAAAATTTTATATGCTAAAGACGGTATAAAATTTTCAAACATTTTCAGACAACATTGTGCCACATTCTCTTCTATACCCATGCTTTTATAATTTTATTTACATTTTTTGAATTTTTAGATAATTTTATAAGAAATACATTTCTTACCGAAATAAAAGCAGCATTTAAAAAAAGTGTTTAACACAAATCAGACCTTTATTGATGTCTCATAAATGTAGAACAATGAAAATGTACAAGAGGTAAATTATTTATATTGAATATAGACTTATCAGAAGAAAGAATGTAGAATAAAAAATGTAACAAGAAATATCAATTATTTTAATATTTACGTAACATTCATTTAAATCAATAGTTTTGTTTGTGAATAATTATCAACGAGGGCACAAAGTAAATTGAGATAGTTTTTTAAATTAAATTTAGCATAACAGTTCCGTCGAAAGTAGAAAACATAATACAACATAAATAAAATATAGTATAAATCATGCATTTTCGGCAGTGTTTCTTGAATAATTGTCTGTGTTTATTGTTACTAAGCGCCTATTAATAGGAAACTAGACCGTAAATACAAATATTAATAAATCCACTAAAAATTTCATTATCTTATTATATTTTAGAATGAAATTATAGAATTACACATTATTTCATTGTTCGATTGCTTATTCTCAATAGTCATTACTTTTATGTACACAATTATACAAGATGTGTCACATAAAACAGGTCGCCTAATTGTCTTTTTCAGTAATGATGGTAGGAAAAATGTTTTATACGCAATAATTTTTTTGTACTACTGTTGCAAAGAACGATAATTAGGTCACTCATTTTATGTAGAATATTCTATATATTCAAATGAAATTAGAACATTTTTTAATGCTTGTGGACTTTTCTAAATGACACATATTCAAAAAAAGGGAAACATAACTTGGAATAATTGAGTTGAATTAAAAAATATATATCTTTCTCTAAATGCTATTTTGAATACATTGCATTTCTTTCTGATTTGACTAGTACAAATTTGACTAAAATATTGAAATAGTGAACTGCAGAATTTTCTAATGAATACCTGTTTCAATTAATTTTGAAACACTTCTCATTATATGTTAATATTTGCCATTAATAAAACACATGTATGTTATCAACAGTTCCTTTTACTTCACCATAAAATTGTGTACAAATAATAGGTTTATCGTTGATTTCCTTTAGACAATACTTCTGTGTACATCTTTCACATGTCATCTGAAAGTACTTCAAAGCTTAATGATCAAAATTTGGGCGGTTTCTTTGAGTACGAGAAGGAATATTTTTTATACAAAAATAAAAAAAGTAATTGACACAATTAGATACAAAAATGACAACGACAGTAAAAGAATAGAGAATTATCATTTCTTAATAATAATTGTGTATATACAATACTTGTGTTCTAATATCATAAAATATTGTTACTGAATTTTTTTGTTACGTACTCGTAATATTAATATACCAAACACGTAAAAAAAATACATGAACTTATCATTTTACATTTTCAAATTCATAAATTAATGAAAACTTTTTCCTTAAGAACAATTATATCTTAGAAATTCTTAGATCAATGTCTAAACATTTGTTTCAGATATTCAACTAATCTAGAACACACATTCTCACTGATTATAAATTCTTGGTCATTAAAAGTTAAAATCGTGCTTTAAAATTAATAACACTCACGATACCTAATAATCGCTCCATAAAAGTAAAATTTGTGTTGCTAGATGTATTTATAATTTCACACAATTCAAAAATATAATTCATTCTTAAGCAATACAATTTACTTTTATCTTAATATTTTAATATAATCTCATACAAAATTTCATTGTACCTTAATATAAGATATTTTATTGTTACTATTAAATTAAGTGGTAAATGTATAACATGGAGAAAATGTTGGTAAAATTCGTCGCGGTCAATAGAGGATTTTTACTTAGTTTTCGGTTACAACCGTTTCTAGGAACTCGTAGGTTGCCCCTGTCATAAAACAGCGGATCTCTGAGGTCATACGGTGACATTTTTCAGACAGGATAAAAGTCCAGGAAAAGTCAATTCACCCTTGGCGTAATGGCGACAGTGTACTGTTCTCTCTCCAAAGAAAGTATGGTTGGGACACAGTGGAAAAGAGAATGACACAGTACCCAGATTCAAAATATTCTTTGTTTTTATAGATTTTAGTATTTTATTTAGAACCTTTTATAACTATCGTATTTATTAGTAGTTCAGCTCTTACCTTCCTTCAAATGTTTGTCAAAATGACGAGTTTCACTTTATTACTTTGCAATTATTGACATTTTAAAAGTATTAAATATATGGACTGATTTTAAAAATAGATATTTTTTCATTGAATACTATAACGAACATTTGAAGGAACTGAAATGAAAATCGATTATTAGAATCTCTATAAGGAACACATATTAATTCTGTTAAATGCTTGGTAATTCTAGTGCTAAGAATTTGACTTATATCATCATCCATACTTTCCTTATTTGGTTCCCAGCATTTCCTAATTTGGACATATATATTTTTATGCCAATCAATATGTTTTTTATATTTATAAAAAAGCATTAAGGTATTTTTTATGAAATTTTATTTATTCTCCAACGTTGAAAGATTAGTAACTTAATCAATTTGTTTATTTAATCAACTTTTTGAATTGTAAAAGATGCTTGAATAGACGTTCATTATATACTTTCTTATTCTTTTTTCACATACCTCAGAACATTATTAAGTTCAAATTGTATTATTTTAAATCTTTTTAAAATTAAAGTTGCTATTGTTCACAATTTAATATTTACGAATTGAAGTGGAAAAGTGAAGTTAAAAGTTTCGTTAGCTAACTGTTATGCCCCTACTGCGTATTTGAAAACATGAATCCAATGTTGATGTTATCAACGTAAAATATTTTATCGTCAACAAAGTTTCAATCGTCGTTACAATTCATTTCATTGTTTTTGTAATTTCTTATGTTATTTTTTCCAGTATTAATCATTTTAAAGATGCACGAGACACGAGGTACATGGAAACTTCAATGGCACAATTAAAATACCAAAGTGTATTTAGACATCCCACTTATATATATGTAATATTCTGTAAAATGACAAAAGAGTACAACTGGATGATGCGGTCAAAAGTGCCCTTAAACCAATTTAAAATAATAACAGAATTTATAATAGCTTGCCAAGAAAAAAAAACATTTTGTGCCAGGTTCCAACACTCTATCTTGGTCAAGAGGATAGTGGTACAGAAACATCGGATTATAAGGTTTCATTGTACTTCTCTGTTTAATACTAGGCAGAAATTCTCAGAAAAATCTGGTGCATTGCAGCTATCAAGACTATACTACAAAATTTTTTTTCAAGTTTATGGTTCAAAGTTTTAGTCGCACAGAAGTCAAATCTTTAATAAATTCAATAACATAGAAATTCCTCTTTATTGTTCAAAAATGAAATTCTTTATATTTTGTAGTTGAATGG